CCCAAAAACCAAAAAAAAAAGGTGACATGTCTAAGGAGTTGGCCATAGAAAGAGCATCTAGGGAAAGGCCCAAACAATGGAAAAGTTCCTGAAGTGGAGAGTTTCTGGGTTTTGACAAACAACAAACAAGCTAGTGTAGCCAGAAGAAATAGAACAGGAAGTAGCAGTTTTTGTTTTGTTTTGTTTTTAAATGCAGCTGAAGAGCTAAGGATGCTGAATGGTGCTAGGCTTCCTTCAGTAGAATGGTTCTGGTGTGAAAGAGCAAGGTGAGGAGGTAACGAAAAGCACTGAGCAGGCTGGACACAACGTGGCTGACACTGAATAATCTGCCTGCTGGTTTAAGAGAGAAGAGGCTGGTGTGTCTGGGTGGCACTCAACGTGAAAGTATCGCTAACACTGTGCTTGTCCAGGAACAATTTCTATCACATGAGGTGTTTTACACACCAAGAGATGTTTGTTGCTCCCTACCTGTTCATCTGATTACTTGTGTGGAACTCATTTCTGTATAATATGGACTAGTTTCTCTTTCCCTAGCTGGAAATGGCAATCCATGATATTGGACTTGACCAACAATAGAAGGTGAAACTTGCAGGCAGGGAACTCAAACCCTGATATTTAGGACCCCAGTTATGAGCTGTATTCCAGAAAGCAATTTGGAATCACATATATCAGTGACTACTCGTAGGCTTCAAACAGTATCATTATTTCATCATTTTGAAGGCTTTTTACAAAATTATTTTCAGAAAAATTATTTTAGGAGGAGAGGCATCCAGTAAGATCTATCACTATCAAGTAAGCTTATAATTGGAAATCACTTCATTTTCAGTCACACATTTTTTTAGAACACAGTGAGTGGGTAATATATGAAGACTTCACAGAAACATAGATGATCTCATCAGGTATTGAAAACAAGCAATAGCATTTTCTCCTTGCACATATAATTCTATAAAATAACTAAAAAACATGGGTATAATATATATGTATACATGTGGCTCTGTTTGGCCAGATCTTTTCTGTTACAATAGTCTCAAAAGTTCTGAAATAAATGTCACTCAACAATAGGGTCATGAAATTATAAAGAAAGGAAAAACATGTTATCTGACTTGTGTTTCCTTAGTATTTTATTATTTACACTGATGACGTATGAAAATGGGTTTCCAATTGTAATATTGAATAGAATAATGCCAATCAGGTAAGAGAGGGAGAAAGAGTTATATGTTAGTCTCAATATTCTATGAAAAGGAGAGTATCTACAGACCAATAATATGATCCAAGAGAATACTCTGAAAAGTTGAGTAGCCAAAATTATACAACAAAATTCAGAATACTGAAAATCAGAAATACCAGGAAATAAGAATATTTTCATATTTCTGTGGAAGAAACAACAAATCCCTGGTTTCTGTATTAAAGGATGAAAATAATTGGAGGATTCCCAATTCTATATTGTCAAAACGCCTCTGACTTCTTCTAATACATTGATAACCTTAGAAAATTCACTCCTCCCTCTCTTATGCACCTACTACTCTGCTAAGGCACTATTTTGGAAAACTCTATTTTCAAATCTATTTGTAATTTATTTGGAAGCATGACATTACTCTACCTCACAATTTATTGCCTCTCACCAAGTATCATAATTACCATATGATAAAATTAATTCTCATTTCTTTTTTAAAAAACTTATTGAATCACAGTGAGATACACAGTTACAGGTTGTTTATGATTGGATTTCAGTTATATAATGTCCCAACACCCATCCCTTCACCAGAGTACATTTCCCACCACAATGTCCCCAGTTTCTCCCTTCCATCCACAATCTACCTCTATGGCAGGCACTTCCTCCCCTCTCATCCCCTCCTTTCCACTCCCCTCCCCCGCTTTTGGGCATTATGGTTTGCAATACAGGTACTGAAAAGTTATCATGTTTGTCCCTTTACCTACTTTCAGCACGCAGTTCTTGTCCAGAGTGATCTTTTCCAACTATCCGAAATCAGTTTCTCAAACCTAAATGTCTGTGGATTCCACAAGACTATTAAAACACACATTATTAATCAGAATGTTTGGGGTAAAGACCCCATTCCCAGGTTCCCTGCCTTTTCCACTAAAACATATTTGGTTCCAATTGTTTTAAAGACTCAATGTCCTGTGTCACTGTTATTTTCAAATTCACAGTATATCTTATTCTCTTATTTGGAAAAATATACCTAAACTCTTAAAAGATTAAGTTGGGTGTTTCAAAGTGACCTAGTGCCACAACTAAAGTGAAAAAAAAAAAGAAATAAGACCTCCTGATTCCTTACACTGTTCTCTCAGATTATGTGCTATTCAGAAATAAGAATTCTATTTGGGATGTAAATATACCTTAAGTTGAAAAAGCCAGCACTGTGATGTCAATTTTCTATGTTAAAAATAAGATGTACTAAAAAAAAAAAAATAAGATGTACTACCAGTTTGCATTTATAAAATTCTTTGCTCAAAGCTTCAAAATACTTTTTGATAGACTGTTGGACTGCTTACAAAGGTTTCCTCCAAAAGGGGACGGAGAACCCTTCTGATGCCCTTTGGTACCCTGCACAAAACCCTACTGATGCCCTTTGGTACTCTGCACAACAAGGCTTTACTGACTCGCTGGCTCAGAGACACCTCTTCTGGGAAATGCTTCAATCTCCACCACCAGATGGAGTAGGGGCTGGTACACAGGATGCCCAGAATTACTCTACACCCTAGCCAGAGCAAGCCGCCAAAGATAGACATGACACAAGTGAGGTCAGTTAGTAGGCCACTCAGTGGCCAAGAGAGTATGTTCTTGAGATCCGAGGATACATAAGGACTGGTTGGGAATCTGGGAGTTCCTCTAAACCTCAGGCTATATGGAGATTAAAAAAAAAAAAAAGCAAAGAAATACAGTCTAGAAACTGGAAAGAAACATAAGCCTCTTGTAATTTTGCAAATAAAACTGTTCTATGATTTGACATTACTCCTCCTTTTTTGACAACCCTCCTTCTGATTATTTGAATAAGCTCAAGCATGTTCTTCCTGCAACCAGTGATTCAGGAAGGAATAGACATAAATTCCTTCCTAAGTCACTTTTAGTTCATATGCAAAGTAAAAAAGCTATAACAGAATCTTTCATTAGATTTATAAACCAACACCTCCCCAACTTCATAGAGTTCATGCATTTTTATAGAGGTGCCCACAGTGGAGCTTACAGGAGCTGAGTGACTCCCGGTGATGCATGAGCCAGTGGTACAGGCCCAGTGGTATGGTGTTGAGCCAACAGTGCTTTGAGGTCAAATGCTCTGGGGCCCATGCAGTGCTAGGGATTCAACACAGGGCTTGGCACATGTTAGGTATGAATTATCTTCGTGATACTTGGACACCACACAGTATCTCAAGAATCTGCTGATTCCATCCTGGTGACAAAAAGTCACTACTTTTACTTATGACTAAACCCTAAACAACATTCCCTACAGAGCTGGTCCAAGGACACTTCAAGACTGCACAACTATGTGCCAGAAGGAGAACTTTTGCTTTTGAGGTGACAGAACCTCTGACAAGCAATGTCTTCAGATTACCGTGGCCAAGGGAAAATAAGAACAGTGCTGATGACTAAGCTGGACGACTGCCTACCCCCCTGGCGAGAGCTGCTCGCCTCCGGACTCAGGTTTCACCATGAGACATAGTTCACCAAAGGACAGGCAGACCCTACCAAAACCCTGATACTTCTAGTGAGGCCTCTCTCAAACTCAGAGGACACAAGTCCACTCTCAGAATTTACTACTCAAGCATTCCTCCTCTGTGGAATCAGGCTTTGGGACAATTACCATGGTTCTGACAGAATTCATTTTCAGACAATTTACGAAAACTGATTATACAAGAATACAAAGAAAAACTTAATAAATTATAAAAGACAAAAACCATGTGAACGAAATATTTTTCCTACTTCAGTGCATCAGAGCTAAAAATTAAAACACAAATTTGAATTTTCAAAATAATAGTAAGCAGGTTGGAGAGAAATACAGGGTTAAGGCACTTGCTTTGCACACAGTCAACCCTGATTCAATTTCCAGCACTGCACGTGTTTCAGCACAGCACTGCACCTGAGCACAGTGTCAGGAGTAAGTCCTGAGCACTTGGAGGTATGGCCCAGAAAAAAACCAAAAACCAGAAAAACAGACAAAAAAAAAAAACAAGAGTAAGCAACTGAAGTCTAAGAACTCACAATTCTCTTCAGTTAAAGAGTAATTTTAGCTTAAAGTCGGGCTGGAGTGATAGCACAGCAGTTAGGGCATTTGCCTTGCATGCTGCTGACCCGGTTCGATTCCTCCGCCCCTCTCGGAGAGCCCGGCAAGCTACCAAGAGTATCCCACCCACACGGCAAAGCCTTGCAAACTACCCAAGGCATATTTGATATGCCAAAAACAGTAACAAGTCTCACAATGGAGACGTTACTGGTGCCTGCTCGAGCAAATCAATGAACAACAAGAGGACAGTGCTACAGTGCTACAGTGCCTTAAAGTCAGAAACTTCATAATTTAGTCCCATTCCCCACCTACCAAACCCCACAGCCCCCATTCTCCCTCTGAAACATCAGGTCCAGGGGAATTTGGCTCTGCCCATTTGTGCAGACCTGGACTTAGTGCAGACCAGTTATCTTCCAAATCCCAAACTGGCAACACCACAGGGCTCCATCCCTTCACACATTCAAGTCCAGTTGGTAATCCTGACTGTAGATTAACAGCACCAAAGAGCACCATTAAAAAATGTGGAACATAAGCACAGTCAGTGTAGTAGCAAAGGTTGAAGAATCTTCCATACATCTGTTCATTTTTAGCCATCAACCCAAGATTTTTGTCTAGGTACAGATAGCACAGACTTAGTTTAACCCTCATCACTGTGATGCAGCTCTTAAGAAAAAAGAAAATGAAAGGAGACAGAGATGCCAACAGAGAATAAGAAACACCCAAGGGAATCCCCAAAGACATCAGATTTCTGTAACCTACCTGAAGAAGTATATAGGACAGGTATCATATCAATGCTCAATGACTTGAAAATGACACTCAAGCAGAGAATCAATGAATTTGAGGAGAACCTGATGGAAAAGAAGAAAAGAGATCTATTCAAACAGAAGCAAAGGAACTTAAGAATGCAGTAGTAAGTCTTATAAACAGTATGGTAGAAGCAGAAACTCAAGTCAGTATACTTGAAGATACAGTAAAAAAACAACTCCAGCAAAAAAAAAAGTGGGGGGGGAAATAGAAAAAAGAATGAGTAAAGATAATATAACATAAAAAAACTGTTAACAATGCTGAAAGAAAAAACTTCAGATCTACAGAGAAGAAAAACTAACTGAAGAAATAATTGGTGAAAGTTATTTCACCAACCTTCAGAACGAGATGGGAGCAATGATTCAAGAGGCCCAACAACGAGAGTAAATGCAGAAAAAACTACAAGATATTATGTAATCAGAATGGCAAGAACAAAAGACGGAGACAGACTCTAACAGCTGCAAGACAGAAGTAACACCTCACACACAAGGGAAAAAGCATTAGAGCAGAGTCCTCTAGCAAACTCAACAAGCAAGAATGAAATCACACCTCCCTCCAAAAAATGTCAAGTAAAATGAATTCCCAACCAAAAATCATCTATTCAGCAAGATTACTCTTAGGGTGAAAGGAGAGATAAAAATATTCTAAAAACAAAAACAGCAGTTGACATAGTTTCGGATCTAACCCAACCCTGGCAAGGACAATGAAAGGACACAATGAACAGGAAACATTACATAATATAGGCAACCAACTCCACAAATAGACATGGCATCAAATCCTTCCATATCAATAATTCTCTAAATATAAATGAAATAAACTCTCCCATAAATTGACAAAGTAGGGAGAGAAGCCATTGTAGTGCTGAACCTGGCAGACCAGGTCTCCAGGCCCAGACGGCTGAAGCTGAGACCCTGCCCATAGGGGTTCTAGCACTGCCCTCTCTGCCCACCCCCCACACTCACTTTCACTTGCATTTAAATAGTCTGGTCACACAATCAATCCTGGAGAGAAGCCACTGCCACACTAAACCTGTAGACCTGAGATACCTGGATGCTGAAACATCCTAGTGACAGTTCTGATGTTCATAGTACTGATGACATCCCAGTAGGAACATTAAAAAAATAGATGGGAAAGTTGCATAGAAGCCCACTAAGCTACGTGAGCAAAAAAACAATATTACGGAAGGCACCTAAACAGCTCAAAAACTTCTCAGACAATAACTTTAGTAACATCACTATGAGATATATGCTACAATAAGCAAGATAAAGTAAATTATTTTACACCTGCTAACAGGGCAGGCTGGATGGTGGGTGGGTAATTTGGGACATTGGTGGAGGGAAGGTCAAACTGGTGATGGGACTGGAATTGGAATACTGAATACCTGAAGTGACTGTGTTATGAACTTTGCAAATCATCGTGTTTAAAGTTTCAAATAAAAATAAAATAAAATTTTCCTTTGCCATGATAGAAAAAGTGAGAGTAGCAAGATGGACCAGGAAATAAAACCCAATATTCTGTTGCTTATAGGTTACATACTTGAACTCTCAGGATAAACACAGGCTCAGAGGGCAGGGCTGGAGGACAATCAAACAGGGATGGCCCTACTTTCAGACGAGAGCATTCAAGTAAAAGAAACTAAAAAACAGGGAGGAACATTACATACTGACTAAGGGATCAATAAGGAAAGAGAATTTAACTCATCAGCATATAGGTACTAAATAAAGGGACAGCAAAGTTTACAAAGCAATTGCTAATATACCTGAAGAGTTACACTGATGTCAGCACAGGACTAGTGGGCAATTTCAATACCCAACTCTTATCTCTGGACAGATCAGCTACACATAATAGCAGCAAAAAACTATAAGGACCAAAAGGAAAGAGAGAAATGAAGAAAGAATGGAGGAGGAAGAAGGAAGGAGGAGGAGCAAGAGGAGGAAAAGAAGGAGAAAGAGGAGGAGGAAGAAAAAGAGGAGGAGGAGGAGGAGGAGGAAGAGAAAGAGGAGGAAGAGAAAGAGGAGGAGAAGACGGTGTGTGCCATAGAGGTGGGGGATTAGGAGCAAGACAAGAATGTCAGGTCAAGGAGAGGATGAAAGGGCTAAAAAGGACCAGAGCAATAGCAGGTAGGGCATTTGCCTTGCATGAGGCCGACCCAGGTTCAATCCCCAGCATCCTATATGGTTTCCTAGCACTGCCAGGAGTGATTCTTGAGTGCAGAGCCAGGAGTAACCCCTGAGCATTGCTGAATGTGACCTAAAAAGAAAAGAAAAAAAGGGGGGAGGGCTAAAGAACACGTTTTGCATGCCAGAACCTCAGGTTCAAGCCCCAGGTTCAATTTGGCTCATGGTTCTCTGAAACACACACACACACACACACACACACACACGTTCATTATTATCAGAACTATTAACATAGTTAGGGAAGTACTAGTCAGTGCAATTTGGTTAAAAATAAAAAAGATATGAGGACAAAACACAAATTAGAAAAAAAACAAAATTATCATAATCTGCAAGTGACATATTATACAGAGAAAATCCTGAACTCCACTAAAAAGCTACTAGAAATCATAAATGGATAAAAAGAAAAGTTACAAAATCAATATACAAAAATCTATTGCATTTTGATATGCAAACTACTAAATATTTAGTATTAAATAATATTTAGTATTAAAATAAAAAGATAATAATGTCATTTCAATGAAAATAGCACATGGGAATAAACTTGTAGCACTGTATGTAGCACTGTACTCCTGCTGTTCATCGATTTGCTCGAGCGGGCACCAGTAACATCCGCATTGTGAGACTTGTTACATTTTCGGCATACTGAATACACCACAGGGAGCTTACCAGGCTCTGCCATGCGGGCGGGATACTCTCGGTAGCCTTGCTCCAGAGACTCACGCATAAATCTCAACTAGCTGCAAAATCTACTGGAAAACCTGTTCCTGGCTGAGATATCCAGAGCACTCTGGAGGTGGGCTGGCCAGCGCCACCCAAACAAAGCTCTGATAGCCACTTGCTCTCATGCTCCAAAGCTGCTGCCCCGCCTTCAGCCAGACCCCATGGTCTTGCGGCCATGCCTCCCAGAGAAATTCACCTGCCAAAAACTCAGGCTTTCCGTAGTGAGGATGGGCTACTTCCCCCACCTCCCTGTACTTCCGGGAGCCCTGGCAGTCATGCTCACACTCCAAAGCTGCCATCCAGTTAAAAATTTAATTCCAGCCACACTGCCCAGTTAAAAATTGTGGCCGCAACGTCTCCAAACTCTAACACTGATAATCCAGTAGTAACACAGCAGACTGGATGGGCTTTAACACAGAAGCCAACTGATCTCAACTAGCAAAATCATTAACGTTGTCTGGAAGCCAACCTATACAGCCATTTGATAGTTGAGAATTTATCTCATGTTTCAAAGTCCTTTGTTTATTTTCAAATTCCTGAGCCACATAGAAGGTATACTAAATTATTTTCCTGTGAATAGCATTAAGCCACGTTCTGGCTGAGCTTCCATATATCAGAAGGCTTCTGTGGCAGAGACAGTGAAAGCAACAGCGCACAGATATAGAATGCTTCAAGGTCCGACTTCCCATCTCCAGCACCTTGGCCTCTGAGCACTGAGAAGTGAATCCCGATGGCCACATGGATCTCCGGGACTAAGTAACACTGCACTGTTAGGCCTGAGCACTGAGCTATGAACATACTGGGAGTGTCCGTGGGCCACCGACCTCTGCTGCAGATTGTCCTAATTGTTTTTGTTTTCATTTGGGGCCCAACCTAGTGGTGCTCCGGATTTACTGCTCGTGAGCTAGAGGGTGTCAGATTGTGTGACACACACACACACACACACACACACACACACACCCCTTTTGCACCAGAGGACAACTCATCCCAGGACCTCCCCAAGGGGAAGGCAGTACTGCCCACTTCGTAAAAATTTCTCTAACTAGTTTAATCCATCCAAATTAAAGGTTGGTGCAATTATTTCTGTGTTAGTAAGGATGATATTGAGAGTGACTAAGTTACTTGCCAAAAGCTGACAAGTGGCAGTGTCAGAGCTGGTATGTCAGACTCTGTGTACTTTGTAAAAAGCAATACATTGGGGTCATGAATGAATTAGGTGAGTCTCATCACTTACATTAGGAGACGAATGAATTAGGCAAGTCTCTTCTGGATGGAAGGCAGGGTGAACCCCTGACTCCTCCTTGCACCCTCTAGAGAGCCTGGTAGAGAACTAGCCCACTCACAAAATACAAAGAAAGTCTACAGAATAAAAAAGGACATTCGCCCAAAACCCATCTGACAAGGGGTTGGTATCAAGGATATACAAAGTACTGGTTGAACTCCACAAGAAGAAAACATCCAACCCCATCAAAAACTGGGTCGACGAAATGAACAGAAACTTCCTCAAAGAAGAAATCCGAATGGCAAAAAGGCACATGAGAAAATGCTCTACGTCATCAGGGAGATGCTGATCAAAACAACAATGAGATATCATTTCACACCACAGAGACTGGCCCACATCCAAAAGAACAAAAGCCACCGGTGTTGGCGCAGAAGTGGCGAGAAAGGGACCCTCCTTCACTGCTGGTAGAATGACTGGTTCAGCCCTTTTGGAAAACAGTATGGACGAGTCTCAAAGAATTAGAAATTGAGCTCCCATTTAACACAGCAATATCACTCCTGGGAATATATCCCAGAGAGGCAAAAAAGTACAGTCGAAATGACATCTGCACTTCTATGTTCATTGCTGCATTGCTGCACTGTTCACAATAGCCAAAATCTGGAAAAAACCCTGAGTGCTGGAGAACAGATGACTGGTTAAAGAAACTTTGGTACATCTACACAATGGAGTACTATGCAACTGTTAGAAAAGATGAAGTCATGAAATTTACATACAAGTGGTACTACATGGAAAGTATCATGCTAAGTGAAATGAGTCAGAAAGAGAGGGACAGACATAGAAAGATTACATTCATCTGGGGAACATAAAGTAACAAAATAGGAGACTAACATCCAAGAATAGCCAAGATAAGTACCAGGAGGTTCAC